ATAAAAAAATAAAAAATAAAAAAAAAATTAGCCAGGCATGGTGGCACATGCCTGTAGTTCCAGCTACTTGGAAGGCTGAAGCAAAAGGATCATCTGAGCCCAGCAGGTCGAGGCTGCGGTGGCCGTGAGCATGCCTCTACACTCCAGCCTGGGCGACAGTGAGACTCCAACTCAAAAAAAAAAAAAAAAAGATTACAAATGGATCTTTCATTTCAGGGCTGGCATAAAAGATATGCCTGGGTCTGTGTACTCATAAGCCAACCTAATTGCAAAATGCTTCAGCGTGGCACAGATTCGGTTAAAAATGAACCCCGAAGTAAATACCAAATGCCAAAAATGTCAGAGTTCAACTTGTTTTTAAATAGACACGAGTGGAGAACTGTAGAGCACTAACAAGGAGACGTCACAGTGACTCACCGTGCAGTGAGTGTGCGGTATATAAACAGTGTCCAACTAAGCCCTCTTTGTTATGGGTAGTGTTCAGTTCAGACAGCTGTTCCCAGAGAGGACGTCACTGGGGTCCCAGGGAGCTGCAGCAGCCAGGAAGGGCAGAACACGTGAGGAGCTAGCCACTCCAGGGTGCTCACAGCAAGTCCCCTTTGAATACCAAGGAGACGGCAATTGTCTCTGCGATCAGCAGCCTAGGGCCACTTACAAAAATTACTGGAGGCCCTGGCCCTAGGCCCAGATCCACACTGGGGCCCTGGCCTGTTACCCTCCCCACACATGCCACTGGAAAGCCGCCAAAATCCGTGGCACCTCACATGGGAAGCACCTGCAGGGCCAGCCTCAGCCATGTGGGCCTACAGAACCAGGCACACACCAGCCTCCAGGAAGTGGAGAAAGGACTAGGCCCTTTCCCCAGACCCATCCTCAGACAGGACCTGGACGTAAACGGCTACTGGGTCTTGGAGCCTTTCTTTTCAAGACCCTTGTATTCTGGCAGTGCCGCTGATAACTGGGTGACCTTGGACAAGCCTCTGTTTTTCCCTGCCTCAGTTTGCTCGCCATCAAAATGGTGAGAATAAATCGTGCTTCATGGGAAAAGGGAGACAGATACAGCGTGTGAGAGCATTCAGCCTAGCACCTGCCACCTGCCGCGCATTCCGTATGTTGGTCGAATGAATAAGTGACTTAGGGGAAAGGCTTGCTAACTCCCAGGGAGAGCAGAACCTTTGATTTTCATCATCACAGCCATCAGCAAAGGCTACCAAATGAGACTTTCGCTCCTGGGAGAAGGCACAGGAACGTGGATTCATCTGTGAACCTTTAAATCACAGCTTTTTGGTTAAAAGTGTAGAGGCTGCTTGTTCAGCGTCAAGCCCAGAACACAGGACTTCCAGATGGGCGGGCTCTTTCCTCCAGCTGTCCTTACACCCATTTCACAGGTGAGAAAGCCGCGCTCAGGAAAGCCAGGTAACGTTCCCCAAATCTCACAGCTGCAGGGGTGGGAGCTGGGCTGTAAACCCCGGCAGGCTGACCCCAGGGCCCACGCTCTCACCCAGTTAGTTCGGCTCCTGCCAGAGAGCTGACAAGGTGTTCTGGCGAAGGAAGGGTCCAGAAGCCTCTGAACGCGCCCGGAGTCTGCCGTCGGCTCCCGCGGACTGGGCAGGCGCAGGCGCAGGGA